CAGTGAAGCCTAGAAGGTTAACGGGTTTCCTTCAGTGTAGTAACATCAATGATATTTCCAATTCCGTTTAACCGCTAGTCAAAACCAGACGGTTTTCGGTTAAACGATTTATACAAAATTATAAAAATAAAATATATAATATATTTTAATTTTTTTTAATTTTTAAATTTGTGTTTCAATTGGAAAATTAAAAGAAATCACAATATTTACAAATAATTTACATAATTAGAAACAAAATCACTTAAAGATCAAGTTGAGTTCTGGTCATGCGATTGCATTGTGAAAGAAACGATGTTACCTGATAGCGTTATCAACACAGGATCAATTGATTCCTTTAGGTCCCATGCGCTACAATTCCTAAAAGATTGCTCTATTCCATGACCAAGTGTTTCGTTTCCGTGTCTTTATATGGACTAACAAGTCTGTCGACATGTACAGAAGAAGAAGAAGAAGAATGTGGAATCGACCAGAAAAGGTTGATCATCTAGCATATAAGAATTTCTGTGTATTGCAAGGTTCTGGAATCATCAAAATGATAAGAAATTTGGCCAAGTCTTGATAAAGTTACAAACACTGTACACAGAAAGATGTATATGGGACTACACGAACACGTGGCGTAAAAATCCCACCCCCGAGTTTTACGATGTTACATGATATATTTAGAATATGAAGGCATTTGAAGAGCCATGCTTTTCAGGGAACATGTCTTATCTGATGTTCTTCCACACTTGCATGATAAGAATGATAACGCTAACAAATTATTTTTCACCTCTTCCCAGTACTCAACCTTCTCTTTAAAGATAAAGAAAAGGAAATTAATTCTCACAGAATCAAACGAAACTTACACTGAATGTTCAAGATTACAAATAAATGACATGTGCCAAACTATTTTGGAAGAAAATGTGTACTGGTTGAGTAATGAGCATAGAAAAATAAGGAAATCAAGGTAGTACTAGCCCCGACGCCATTTGTGTAGTCCCATATGCATCTTTCTGTGTACAGTGCTTGTCACTTTACCAAGACTTGGCCAAATTTATTATGATTTTGATGACTCCATAACCTTGCTGTGCACACCAATACTTACATGCTACATGACCAACTGTTTCTGATCCATTCCACACATTTTCTTTCACGATGCAATCGCATTACCAGAACTCACCTTTATCTTAAACAAAAACTTAACTGTCAGGCATGCTTTGGAACAATGACTGGGTTTCACTTTTTTTATGAAGCTAATGAATCTAGTACGCACATGTATTCATGTTTATACAGTGTAGCTCACGATCGTGATATTGCAGAGGTCAGGATTTGGGATTTAAATGGCATGATCAGTGAAGTATTATGCATGTATTTTCAAGGCTGTGAACTTAGTTTTACGAGTCAACTTCTCAATCTACAATCTTGCAATTGATTGTTATCGTGTAGATTGTTGCTCTGCTATTCAACATCCAACAGTCAGGGCTGACTCATAATGAATATAATGAGTGGGGTTCACTTGATTTATTAGCTTCATAAACAAAGTGAAACCCAGTCATTATTCCAATGCATGCCAGACAGTAAAGTCTCAGTTTTTGTTCAGTGATTTTGTTTCTAATTATGTACATTTTTTTTTTTAATAATGTGATTTCTTTTGATTTTCAAATTAAAATTTAAAAAGAAGAAAACGGGGAAACTAAACCGTGCAATTAAAAATGGATAGTGCCATGGACGGTCGGATACCGGATGGTTAAACGCATGCGCGGTAGGGCGTACTTTCTCTTCGCCGGTTGAATAGACGATACAACATGGAAGAATTGTCGGGTAGGACGAAGAATCACCCCCTTTTTCCCAAAGAAGACTTCTTGTGAAATTATAATTTCAAGTGGCCAGCCAGATGCCCAGAGGAGTCGAGCAACCTAGTCAATCAAAATTTTAATTACTCCCTTTGCATATTTTGAGATAATGTCGCCCAACTCGCTGTTTGAATGTTTTCTGATGCACCCGCTGAAGCTCCGACACCTTTGGCATCGGCATTGGAGCTTCCTGGAGTTAACATTGTATCAGTATACTCACAGCAGGGTTGTTGATTTTTTTTTATTTAAATCGGATTTTTATGATTTAAATCAGATTTTTTTGATTTTTTTCCAACGAAAAATAATGGTCACACTTAACAAGTTTTAGACTATATTTAAACTGTTTTACACCAATAATAGTGGTCAAGTAGTCTTTTGAACATTGTGTATTGTACTATTTTACACAATAATCCACTTATATACAGGTAATTTTTTTATTTATTTTTTTTATTTATTTGCATTATAGAGAGGGACATTTTATGGAAGCCCAAGTAATGTTATGTATTATGTATACATTTAAACTCTTGAAATTTTTATATCAGTCTGTACGTTAACATCTAATTTGAATGTAATATTTAACCAGATTTGCAATAGGCACTTCCTGATATGCTTGTAACAAAATACACATTTTATGTTTTCATTACAGTGTAACCTCAGTTCCAAATAAAACTTCAATAAATTTTGTTGCAAGATGCAGGATAAGCACCACTGTCCACCACATCATTGATGTGCTGTTTTTTCAAACTATTACATGAACAAGCAAGCACAGCAGTTGTATTGCTGCATACAGTAACACTTGCCCAGCAACTTTCCCATTTTTAAATTCTTACTTATTAAGTATACATGTGTACTTTGAAATTGTGTAATTGAATGTATGGGTATTGATAAGAAAATACACAAGCATGCAAATATACATGTAATTCTTATCAAATGTATACATATGCCTTCTACTTAAGTAATTGAAAGAATGGGTATTAATAGTAACAAGAAGGAGGTACATACAAGTAGTTCAGCTGTTTTGTAAAAGTATCCAAGTTGTGGACTTTGAGCACCTTTGTAGATTTTATATATTATTTTATTGAAGATTTAACAGTTTGGTGTACACAGAGAGTTATTTATCATTACTTCGTTAGAAACTTGTTGTTTTCATCAGTTTTGCTTGTTTTACAATTTGAAAATAAAACAGTGGTGTTAAATCAGACTCCATGAGGGTGTATCATTCTTTTACAGTATCTCTAAAGTAGTGCTGTAGCCGAACCGCCGAACCGAACGGAAGTTCGCCGAACATGGCACTTCCGAACCGAACCGAACCGAACCGAACGCAAAGGCCTGGTTCGGATGTTCGGCAGAAAAATGTTAACATTTTCGAAAGCTAATAAACTTGTCATTTTGTACCTAATTTTCATGTCATGATTGCTCATTTTATATTTACTTTTTTTCCCATTTTCCGCCTTTGTGATTTATGGCTATCCAGTGGTGGGCGCGACTTCACTGGCGCCATTTAAAACCCAAATCCTGACCACGCTACGTCGCGATCGCAAGCTATAAACAAGAATACATGTGCGTGATCAAAACAAGTTCAGCTCAAACCCATTTAACAAAACAAAAAATATATATAATAATTGTAACAATATCGGACAAATTTTACAATATAAATAATGAAATAAATATATATTATAATATGGTATTTATTTATTCAGGAAAAATAGGGATTTTATATTTTTCCTATTGAAAATAAAAACTTATAAAAAACAATTATTGACGAGCCTGAATTGCTATTCAAGATGGCATCTTTCATGACTCTAACATTAGACAACAACCGTCTCGGAAAATCTTGCAAAATTATCATTTATTGACAAATTGAAAACATGATTCTTTTAAAATTGAAAATACAACCCAATTCAAGACGGAAATAAGAATGTAAGTAGTACTTTTCTTCACAAATAATTACGTTTAGAGCAGTTTTTTAATGTGAAATTCGTGCTGGTCGGACGCACTGTTTTTCAGCAGGAGTGGGCAGAAGTCCTTCGTGCTGGTCGGGCCCTGCCGGCCGGCCCGCCCAGTGCCGACCGCCGTGGCTATAACGCTGCTTGCTATTATTATATTACCGAACCCCGAACCGAACCAAGTTCGGGTGAAAAATTGCCGAACTCTGCCGAACCGAACCGAACACGAACATAGCGTCTGACTTACAGCACTACTCTAAAGCATGTGGAACAGAAATGAAAATGATTACATTGAAAGTATCTGTTAAGAAGAAGAGAAAATAGAGAAAACTAATTTTTTTTCATAAAAGTTGATTTAAATCAGTGATTTTTTTAAAAAAAATCAAGTGATTTAAATCGCGATTTAAATCATGATTTAAATCGATATGATTTAAATCAAACAACCCTGACTCACAGCACAATATATGTTAATAAATAGGCTTGGCCAGCTATAATTGGCATGACAGCCATATCCATCTTGGAAGAAAATTGCAAAAAAATAAATAATAATGCCCTGCCTCCTCCTATTTTTTAAAGTCCGGACGATAACCACATTATTTTTGTTATTTGGCCTTATCAAATCTCCGCAAAAGATTAAATTGAAACCACCTCAACCATCATGCACTCTCAAGCTCTAGACCTCAGTCATTCATTCATATTTTTGTATTAACACTAACACTATGTCAAGCAAACAACAATGACGACAACACTCAAAACTCCAAGCACAAAATCTGTTTAGTTTAAATTGCAGGAGCCGACTCATTGGGTCCAAAATTACTATTATTATTATCTCAAGTTTAAATAATTAACCAAACAATTTTTTGATCTATCGTTGCCTGGTTGCCCTGGCATGTTTTAAAAAATGTTAAAATCCCACTGAAATCGACGTGCCCTGCCTCGTCCTCAACAATTTCATACTAACCCAGGCCAGGCCCAGATCAGCTCAGGCCTCACACTCACACGGCAGACAATACACTACTACACCCGATCGCGATGGGCTATAATGAGCTTACCCTACGCCTATTTCTCGGGTAACAATGGGTCGAGGGTGCCGTAACCGCTTCCTCCTACTCGCGCGCCATCAAGCTGGGCCAGACGGCCGCGCTATTCTAAAACTAACATTTCCTGCATTATCTAAAAACATTTGCTTCACCTAAAATATAACATGATAGTCAATACTTACATATGCAAAAACTATAATCCTAAATTTCGATGTTAAATTGTGAATTTTAAGTCTGAACTCCAGAACCAGCGGTCCACTGAAGTAGATGAGGGAGTGGTGAAAACCCGGAAGTACGGTAGGTCTGTAGGATTCGCTGTGCCACACGCTTCCGTCATCAAACAAATGGCTTTTCCAAGCCATTGTCGTTTCCTCGTGCAATCAGCGAAATATGTTTTGGCACAGTCAACGGAACATACATGCATTGTGGGATATCAATGCTACTTAAATAGGTGGTAAAGCCCTCGGAATACGTCATTTGGAACCAATCAGCTGTTCTCAGAAGGGGGTTGGGCAAAAGAAAGAAAAAAAATACAAAATATGCTGCGCGTAAATGCCCAAATACGGTAGGGTCTTCTCCGGATTATAGCCTTCTCATAGGCCTTCTATTGACATGCTGCGAAATGACCTCAGAGAAATAAATAACACTATGAATATGACGGACAAAGAGAGCGGACAAAATATACAGTTCCTTAGGTAGACAAAGGAACATCCCTTCTCTGCTATTATGCAAAAATGTGTAGAACAGGTGAATATGCATGTACACCTGTTCTATAGCAGTGAAGGGATGTTCCTTTGTCTACCTGAGGAAATGTATATTTTGTCCGCTTTTTTGCAGTCATGTTCATAGTGTAATAAGGTGAATATTATGTATGTTTAGATGACTAATGATTGGTGTTCTGGTCAGGCGCGGATCTATAAAATGAAAACAAAACGAGGCAGGGGGGTGGCTAATCTGACCTGGGTCGAGCGCGGAGAGATTGCAGAAAGGCCCGCTGTTATCATGGATGGTGACCGCGACCCGGGGGGGGGGGGCTAGAAACACTCAGGGAAGGGCAGCGGCTGAAAATCTGACCAGTAATTTAGAGAAAAAAGTGAAAAGGTGAAGAAATAAACGAAAAGAATCTCAAAACAAAGAAAAGTGTAACGGGGCATAACAAGGGGTAAGCCCCCGACCTGTCCATGTGTATGCCCCAGTCTTTTTTTTTTTGTACTTGTCTGTGCATTGTAGCGATTCTCCTTGGAGGAGGGATTTATGCAGGTTTGAACTATCAGAGCAATTCAGGTTGTTCATAACCCAAGCAAATCCTAAAAATTATGCCCATTAAAACGTAAGCTTTTCCGTTCGTCTTTAGTCTCTCGACTATCAAAGGCCTTGTTTTTCGGGGGTCTTAGCTGCAGGCGCGGATCCAGGATTTCTTAGGGGAGGGGGCCCAAATTTTTTTATTATTTTGCTCCCGGAAATTTGAAAATCGCGCCGGCCGAAATGTCGCTCAGTGGGGGGGGGGGGAGGGGGGGGGGGGTACAGAGCACAATTTTTTTTTTTTTTTTTTTTTTGCTCCCGAAAATTTGAAAAACGCGCCGGCCAAAAATTCGCTCAGTGGGGGGGGGGGGGGGGGGGGGGGGGGGGGGGGGGGGGTAGTGAGCACATTTTTTTTTTTTGATCTTCAAAAAAATTTCAATTTGCACCCCCCCCCCCCCCTTGAGCGCGGGGGGGGGGGCCAACCCCCAAAAAAGGTAAAAATCACGTGATTTTGCATGATTTTTTTCTCAAGGGGGGGGGGGCCGGGCCCCCCGGGCCCCCCCCCCCCTGGATCCGCCACTGCTTAGCTGATGGGGGGGGGTAGTCCCCCCCCCCCCCCCACCCCCCCCCCCCCTTCCTGGGATCTTATCCATTGAGTGACTTTAAATTCTGAAACTTGGCATACAGATAGAGGTATGATGTTTGAATGTCAAAAGGCTTTCTAATCTTGAATTGAATAAAGTTGTCACTTTTCACATATTATCCGTGAATTGACAGTAATTTGGCACGGTGATTTATGACGCTGCGCGATTGGTCAAATTTATTTGGTATCAAAACAACCGAACGGCGAGTATACGACCCCCGCCAGAAATTTACAGGGGACCCTCTCCCACCCCCCCCCTGACTTTTTTAGAAGAAAAAAAATGGGAAAATGGTAAGTTATGGCTATATAATCATATCGCATTGTTGAGCCTCTGAAGTTACCACAAGTAACCACAACCTTCATTTCACTAGCGGGAAATCTATTTGCCTGGTCACTCCATTACACAATCAGTACATAATCATTAAAAGATATTGTTTGTATGACTTACTAATAATATTATGATAAAATTTCAAATTAGATACAAGTAATGGAATATAATACATTCCACATTCCACGGGGTCGTCTCATGCCATTATGATTGTTGTAAGAGAATACATAATTAAAAAATGATACACTTTATAACAACTAATTATGTTTTAATTTGATTCGATTTCGGAGCTCAAATATACATAGAATCAAAATAGAGTGGTACAAAAGACGAGGGGAAAATAATTTAAAAAACAACAAAATAATGATAATTAAGTTGCAGGATGGCCCATGAAAACCCGAAAGCTTATTTACAAACAAAACGGAACATGTTGCATTTTTCCATTATTAAAAAATGTAAAATGCTACAGCAATGTTTGATAACATCTCTTGAAACGAAAATATTCTCAAAAATATTCACTGAACATTAAACCAATACAATATATGAAATCTACAGGGCAGAGAAAAAGAAAAGAAATGATCTATACCATAAGGATGCAAGTCATATCAGATTATTATCTTTAGAATGCGTTTGTATTGTTCTGCAAAGATCAAGTATAGAAGAGTCGGAAGAAGAAGAAAAAAAAAAGAAGAAGAAGAAGAAGAAGAAGAAGAAGAAGAAGAAGAAGAAGAAGAAGAAAAAGAAGAAGAAGAAGAATAAGAAGAAGAAGAAAAAGAAAAAGAAAAAGAAAAAGAAGAAGAAGAAGAAGAAGAAGAAGAAGAAGAAGAAGAAGAAGAAAGAAGAAGAGGAGGAGGAGAATTAGAATGAGAATAAGAAGGAGGAGGACCCGGAGGAGGACCGTTACTCGACGATGAGGCGAAGTGCCCAGAGTGTGAAGTGGTGTGGGTTATTCTCAGTCCTCTATTTCAGAGTATTACGTATTTTCTGTCCTATAGTTCAATGCTTTTGCCCATGTATAATTTGTATGAAAAATGTATTGACATTTTTTATATTGTTAACGGCACTTTTAGAGAAGTTATTTCAAATAAATTAATGTCACTATACATATTCGAACAAGTGAAAAATTAAGAAAGAAAATAAATATTTAGGCCTACCATAAATTATATATAAATTATTATCATTCTTAGTATCATGTCTTCCTTTCTTTTTCTTTTTTTACTGACTTTCTTTCTTCTCTTCTTTCTTTCTAGTCCGAAACCGGGGTCTAACGAGGAAAGAGTAAGAGGAGAATGCTACCTTTCAAATTCTTTAATAGCGCCAGCTTGCGATGTCTACATTATAATGTCAACAAGAAAAGACCTCGCTAACTAGCTCAGTACTACATGTATATGCATGCACAGTACAGTTACGTTTCGCCCCGGCCCGCGAAGATTCCGGCCGCTCCGCGCGCCATATCTCACGTACGGTATTGATTGTGAGGAAACTACCTGTGATCACGATTGGGCGACCAGACTAGACACACGTCGAAGCTTGGATTATGACCTATTCTACACCGTAATTGGAATTATTTTCGGATTTTATTCTATGGAAGGCATCAGGTTACTATATTCTGACAAATAGCTGGGAAGAATCACGTTGGATTCGTGGAAAACGGCTTGTAAATCGCAACCATGTCAAAAGTAAATGTGGCGGTGCGTGTTCGGCCATTCAATCGTCGAGGTGAGAAATGAATTAGATCTAACAGTAACAGTTAGATCGAAGTCAGAATGAATGATCCGTAAAAAATATGGAATCAAGATTCTATACGAATTGTGTTTTATATCTTAATTTGATTTTGGTTTGGTGGTTACATGAATAATTTATTATTGCTTTATCTTAATATGTTTATTTTTGTTTCAGAGCTCGACTTGCAGACGAAATGCTGCGTGGATATGGAGAACAACCAGACGGTCTTGCACCCGGTCACGGGTAAATCATCGGATAGGTAAGTAGGCGTGTCCCCGGGCTTTGGCCGGGTGCGCATGTGATGAGAAACCCCCTCCTTTTCTTATCTGCACAGTTTATGAATTTGACAGAAAAATCTGACATCTTATACTCATTTTGTCTGAGGATGTATAGATTAAAATCCATTCAATGACCACCTTCATGATGTCAGAATTTTCAGTTTTGTTAATGCCTTTTTTTAATGAACTGTGTGGGATAACGATAACTAGTACTAGTTTAATTAACGGCTGATTGCATGATGCAGTTGGTTGGGTAACTGGAATTTGTAAATACTGTTTGATCCATTGTATGCTGCATCATAAGTTTTGTGTGTGGGTGGAGAATAAACTTAACCAGTAGAGTGTTCATTGTTCACTCTATTTTGCATTTTTAACTTTTTTAAAGGCAAACAAATCTAAAAGTAAAAGCTTGCCCTTAAACTCGGGTTTAATTTTATCATTACTTAGTCTAGGCCCAAATGACATGCTACTTTACATTCACAGTCTATGTTCATAGTCTATAACTTGGTACACCAGACAACAATACTATGGTAATTTCCCACAACAGGCAAGTAAACATTGAACATCATCAACCAAGATATTGCATACTTCTGTAAAAGTCAAAGTCCCCCCCCCCCCTTAAAGGTAAAGACCAGTATTGGAAACGCCCCAATTTAAAAAAATGAAATGGAAGCTCTCATTACCAATCATGTGATAGAATATGTTTTGACTAATACATGATGATAACAAATTTGCCGGGAAACCGCCTACTAACTCATATATTTGGTAAATTTGTTTCTTTCATGGACTGTGAGAGATATAGGGTAGTCCCATATACATCTTTCTGTGTATAGTGCTTGTAACTTTACGAAGAATGGGCCAAATTTCTTATCATTTTGATGATTCCAGAACTTTGCAGATGCTAGATGCTAGATGATCAACCTTTTCTGATCGATTCCACAACGTTTCTTTCACAATGCAATCGCATGACCATAACTGGTCTTTACCTTTAATGTTGTTGCTTATTCTGAAGTAGGCCTATACCTTGTTATCTTGGCAACTGCAGTCAAAATTAACTGTAGCCCCACATACTGATGGTTTCCTGAGTGGCTACTTGTTATGTAGCACCTTTTTTTTTTTTAATCTCATTGTAAATGTACATTTGTGTTCTCTTTAACACAGCCGCAATTCACAATGTTTGAATGAGACACTCTCATAATTCATTGTGGATTGGTTGGAATAATGAATACATTACCAATAAGGAATTACCTTGATCTTTCTGTGTGAAAAATATGAACAGGAATATATACACTGTAAGTACATGTGATATGAAATTTACACAAAGCCCCACCCTTCGGGCACTAATCCAACTATTTTATGGCAAGTATATCACAGCAGGTCCTCGAACAAAAAAGTATATATATATCCGAGTCATACATATTGAAGAATTTTTTTATAGTCATTTTGTGTGTTGGAAAATATGAGAAAGTTGTACATACATACATCACAGTGACTGCCAATTTGAAGTGCCCATACGTATAGTGATTACAACTTTAAAAATAAATCAAAATTTCTTATTAGAATTTGTTAAAAAATTTTCACCAATCTGCTTCTCTGATATTTGTGCTTTCTTTTAGAATTGTTTGCTATCAGCAGTATTAGGGTAGGATTTTCCTTTAACAGCTGATACAGGAAGTCCTTATTTCCACTGGTGACAGTAAATTGTGACCCTGTTTTAATATACTGTACTGTAGTTCACCTACAAAGTTGGATCGCCCCACCAAGAATGTAGGCCTATACAGGTACTTGACTGTAGATTGATATCCAGTCATCAACTCTTCATTATTATTATTGTGAGTTGTTTAAGATCCACTGGCAAAGTACAGGCATTCTGACAGAATGTACAGTATACCATTTACAACTTACAATGTACTACAATACAGGTGTATTTTTTACTGTATTTACTAATTAATATTTGATGATATGACAAATTACTATCCATGTATAAACATAAATTTATTACAATAAACGGCTGATGAAATTATTGTCTAAAAATGGAGTTGTTAATCATTTCAACCAAGTGGTTAATTTAAAAAACAATGAAATAGCTAATAAAAAATTAAAGAAAATTAAAAATCTTTTCTTATCATTATACACTGTAACCTCACTCTTTGCAGTATTGTAAATGAACAAATACTAATGGGATGTTTCACAAAGATCCTAAGTCCAACTTAACTCTAAGTTGGACTTTAAAAATTATGGAGAGCCATTTGTAACCTTGTTATTCAAAAGCAAAATTTTAAGTATTTTAGACTTGTCATAAATTCCACATCAAGAACATGACATCTCCATGAATGATTTGAATCAACATTTTATGCCTTTTAAAATAACTTACAAAATATTTTCACAGATGCGGCTTTCCATATAAACTGTTAAGCACAACTTAGAGATTAAGTTCAACTTAATGGGATCTTTGTGAAACACCCCCTTGTGAATTGTGAACACCCTGTGCACATACATGTACATTGTACTGTAACATACCGGTACATGTACATGTACATGTATGTAGGCCATAATTGATCATTCATGTACATGTACATGTCTCTACAGTCTACCCTAGCAGATTATCTCCTTCTCTATCCTCTCAGATCATTGAGGGCTTAGATAGGGCTGGTCAGGTTTGACCATTATGAAGACAATAGGGCTTCAAATCAATACCTGGGGCATCAAACCTTTTCATTACTGTCTGGAGTACATTGTACGCTGGACAATTGACAGCTCCTTTGGTCAACTTTTTGCCCTTTATTCACTCTATGTTCTATTGTGTCCCTCTCTGGTCAGTGGTGTGGTGTGAGGGAAAGGTCAATTTCCTATGAATGTTTTCAAATATAATAAATGGGTGGCCTGTTCAGACTACAGTAAATTTATACGAAACTTACGTAAAGAAATGTACATGTACTGTACACGTAAAGCAAGAGGGGCAAACAGACTGGATCAAAACATCATATTTTTATAAAAACTATTTTGAAAGAGGTCCATCGATATGACAGCTGGCAAGTCATCAGTGCATGCTAAGGATAAGCCCGCCGTGTTGTATACAACTTTTGTCCGATATGACGTTCAGAGTGCAACCAGATCATGATTTTTTTTAAATCAAGTTTTCATTCAAATAGACTACATGTACATGACTCTCAAAGATGCGTTTCACTATACAACGTTTCATTATACATTGTTTCTTCATAAACGTTCAGACTAGGAAAAATGTTACTTATTGTATAGTAATACACATACATATATACGATGAATTCTTGTAGTGTGAATGCAGGGTGAGACTTGGGCTCTGTTGTTTTACTGTAATTCATAAATGCTATATACCACAATGTCTATTCAGGTGTTCTGTCTGTATTGCTGAAAAGAAAGGGTTATTGCCCCAATACAGTCTATTGTACTTCTATGTGTTGTGAAGGCCATTGACCTTCAGTAATAGTCCGTTGACCTTCAGTAATGACCATTTTTGTAATGTAGCCAAATGTTGATGCGTACTGTACATGTACAGTACATTTGTACGTCTTCGTGAAGTGCCTCAATACAAATTATTTCATTCACCTTTTAAAGGTAAAGACCAGTTATGGTCATGCGATTGCATTGTGAAAGAAACGTTGTGGAATCGATCAGAAAAGGTTGATCATCTAGCATCTACACTGTAGCATCTGCAAGGTTCTGGAATCATCAAAATGATAAGAAATTTGGCCCATTCTTCGTAAAGTTACAAGCACTATACACAGAAAGATGTATATGGGACTACCCTATATCTCTCACAGACCATGAGAGAAACAAATTTACCAAATATATGAATAGTAGGCGGTTTCCCGGCAAATTTTTTATCATCATGTATTAGTCAAAACATATTCTTTCACATGATTGGTAATGAGAGCTTCCATTTCATTTTTTGAAATTGGGGCGTTTCCAATACTGGTCTTTACCTTTAAGAGTAATTGTATTTCAATAGTCAAAATGCAAACTGTATACATGTATGTAGTTAGGTAGGGATAATGAGTTGTTAGGTAGGGCTTGCCATAATGTTTGTCCTACAGGTACCTGGCAACAAATACTGTTTGCAATTTGCATCTTGACTGTCAACATTATTTGTTACAGGTGAAGGAAATAGTTGGTTTTGACTTTCGAGGCACTTCACAAAGACGCATGCATTATAACTGGGTTTCATTACAAAAATAGCCTTTTGTAATTGCATTACATGTATGCATGTAGGACGGTTCATTGGTTGGTTTGTTGACATTCTTTCCACACGATCAGATGTGTAGGCCTACTGTTGACATAAATTTATAATAAATCAACAGATGGTCAAATGACTCCGTTGGGAGTTGGTGCAACTGTGCAAGGGACAGTTAAAAAGAACAGATGTGATAATAATACAACTGAATAAATGTTTATATTGTAGGCTTGTGCAGTAATCTGTATGAGGGTCTACATTGTACATTGTACATAAATATAGAAATATATGTGTAAGATCATTCATGTATATTCTGCGTGCACTGTAGTGTACACATGTAGTTTAATGTTTTTATACATAGCAAAAATAGTTGCTAATTAAATGTGATTGTGAAAGATTTCAATTTTGAAGGCTGTATTGATTCTTGAGCCTTTAGTAGACCTACAATGTACATTGCGCGGCATTACATTTTTTTAATGGGAAGATGACTGAAATACTTTTATACTGTAAATCTTCAAACCATTAGGCAGTAATAAAGACATCAAAACAAATTTAAAGTGGGACCCTTTTCCTTTAAAACGTCAATTAACTGAGACTGAGAAAAAATATTGTAATTCGATTCAAAATAATAAGAAGAATCTTAAACCCTTCTCAAAACATTTCTATTGAAACTTGAGTTTTTTGCAGTGGGGTACATGATAAATATGTTCCACATTGAAAAGAAACCTATTGTCATGTACATGTATGAAGGTGGGTTTTCGTTGAAAATTT